ACAACTACGTGCTTTGGCATGCTTAGTTGTTTTAGCATGGTTTTTCAGAGCTTTTTTACCACTGCTTCCGTACCGGATCACGTCGTTGCACCATACACACCAAGCTTCTCCGGGGGACTTTCGCTTCCGAACATAGGTAGAAAAAAATCTTCATTATTGTCCTTTTCCTACAGCCAACTCCAACTAAATCTATTTTTGACAGTAATGTCGATGTTTCTAGTATCGTCTGTTCCCCTCTCCGCGAAATCCATTTAGTTTGGTTTAGTTCAAAATTCCGCGCACGCGGTGTCAAAACTTTCCACATGGGTGCCGACATTAAAGCCTACATTTCCAACCAATCAAGCGCCATAAATAAATCACGTGCTACGGTTGTGATCATGACTAGATATTGTGTTGAAACGCAGCTCTGTCGCAATGGTTGAAATGCGACGTTCCTCTGACGCATCGTTCGTCCAGTCCGCGACCACGTTAAAAACGAGAATTGCGGAACAAAATATAGTACCAGAAAATTTTATAACTGGACGCAAAAAACCGGAATTCCGGTAAAAACCGGAAGACTAGCATCCCTGTTAGAAGAGTACGAATTGACAAAAACAAATCACAAACAAAATTAATAATTTGAATACATGTAGTTTCAAATATGATTTCATAATTTTACTTTTTTATTTTTAGTCCATAAGTTTTCATTTATGATAGATCCACATATTTGATTTACCTGTTGACTGTTTCCTCTGTTCGCTCTGATGGACTTGGTCATCCTTCTGGCTGGAAGATGATAAAACATACATCTTTAAAACAATCTACTTAATTTTTTAGTGTCTTAAAACTGTTTTTTTTTTTCAGTTTCTTTGACAAAGCAATAAAATGCCCAAGGGATTTACATAAAAAGTCTCACATCAGTAGCAGCACAAATTCACCTAAATATCAGGTATTACATTGTAAAAAATGAAAAAACTTGCTGAAAGGCTGTTAAGATCCAGAAAACAATGTGATATGTATAGAAACATTTAATATATGCAATGCATGCTCTTATATAACCATACTGGAAATTATTCTGGAGTCATTGTGTTCCATTGTGGCAGTATAGTCCTGTGCCTCTTAGTACAGTGTAGAAGTCTGCAGTCATTGTGTTCCATTGTGGCAGTATAGTCCTGTGCCTCATAGTACAGTGTAGTGGTCTGGAGTCATTCTGTTCTGTTGTGGCAGTATAGTCCTGTGCCTTCTACTACAGTGTAGTAGTCTGGAGTCATTGTGTTCCGTTGTGGCAGTATAGTCCTGCACCTCCTAATACAGTGTAGTAGTTATAATAAAGTGACTCGAAAAGCCGGTGGTTTGAGAGACCATGTGCTCTTTATTC